TGGACAACGGATTTGCACTTCGTGCAAACCCGCAGCCGATTTAACCCTTTCTACACATCACGTCCGCTCATTTTTCTGCCGTTTCCAGCCTCGCTCATTTTTCTACCGGGCTCCGCTCATTTTTAATCTTTTTTCAATCCATCCGGTAGCAACAAATGCCTGGACCCGACAGGGTGATTGAGCGACTGAAGGTTGTGGCGGAGGGCTATGAGGTGACAGGACATTATGGGCTAAGGCGATGTCGCATCTCCTTGACGGCCGCCGGCAAACGCGGCAGGCCTTGAAACGTCGAGGGGCTTATGCGTGAATACCACCGACACACTGAGCCCGATGCTGCTTGACCGGCGCGAACGATAATCGACACCACGCCCGTGTTCATCGCATTGCGTGAGCCAAATTTAAATTACACTTGCGCTAAGAATGCTCCCAGCACTCGTACACCGTGGACGTAGGCATGGCGCAATGCCGACGCTCGCCATCACGGTGGACACTGAATGCGTTTCCATGCTATAAACAGGAGCCAAAAGCGTGCTTTTTTCAAAACTCCCAACAAAAATTCTCTACGATGAGCTTGAGAAAGCTCATGGTCCCGAGGTGGACCAAGCGCTGGCTCGGCCTCTCTTACCTCGGTGCTTCGATGGGTGCGAGTATCTGGTTCCTCGATATTGTCGGTCCGGGTCTCGCCAACGACCTCTTCTGGCCCGGCTTTGACCCCACGTCGGCGCAGACATACCTCATCGACGTCTTCAACCGCCACCTCAGCGCCTCCAGCGCCTCGGAGATTGACCTCTTTGACCCCAGCGAGGCCATTCTCAAGACGTACGGCCTTCCGTCGACAACTGCGTTCGCGAAACCCACGTACCCTCGGATGCGAACCCTGGTCGAGTACACGTCGGTGGCCGATGCGATAATTGGTTTTCAGTCGCTCGATCCCGGCTACGTCTTCAACTTGATGACGCTGTACTGCTGGGCCGACTTTGAAAAGCGATGGGAGGTCGCTCATACGGCGGCGCGTCAAGCGCGATGTGCCGATACGATGGCGGACAACGGTGCCGTGTACCTTGAGCCGTTCCTTCGCAACATCGACTGGGACGCATGGTATCCGATCTACGGTGCTAGCTTTGCCCAAGCGGTCTCCGACGCGATTGTGATCACGTCCGAAGGCCGGGACTGGTACAAGAGTCTCCAGAACGCGTACCAGTCCCTCGAAACCGAGGAAGCGTACTGGAAATCGCACCAGATTTCGCACTTTCAGCTACAGTGGAGCAACGATGCTCAGTTCAGCGTGCAAGAATCGATCTCAGTTGTCAACATGCTCGGGTGGCGACACGACTTGACGCTTCAGTCGATCTCATTCGGCAAACGAGGCTCCAAGTGGACGACGTTTGCGCTCAACTGGGCCTTCTACAACAACCTCTGGGGTGCGGCGGTGACCAACGGAAGCCTCGTGCGCAGCGCCAGCAACTTTATGGGCGACGCAACAATGGAATCTATCCTCTTCCTCTATCCGTTCACGCAGTGCAGTATTATCATCCACGACCGCCTCGGTCCGTTCCAGTCCATCGACACGTTTCTCATTCCACCGCCACCGCAGCTCGTCGCCTCATGTGCCCAGCTCCAAGCCGCCGTCATCTTGGCACTGCAAGCAAACTTGACCCTTTTGCATCTCTACGCGGCCTTGCTTACACCACTGCTCGATCCTGTGCCTCTCTCGTGGCAGAGATCCAGCTACACCTTCTTTGGCGGCAGCCCGTTCTGCCCGTTTGGCTCTGGCGCAAACTTTGTGCAGCCATCCTTTACCTTTGACGATACGTGCGGCAGTCAAGTACCGAGTCGGATGCTTGTGGAACCTTCGGCGGCAGTCTTTGCAGTAACAACCATGAAGCTGCTGCACCTATCAGATCTTAGCAGTTGCGCACCTTGCAGCGCTGCGACCTCTGGTGTGTGCAACTCACTCGCGACCCAAACCTCGGCCATTGCCAATAAGCTGCTGACGAACGCTACACTCTCTGGCCTACTGACGCCAACAGTCCAAGCTGCTGCTGATGCCATCCAG